GAAAGTTCTGATAAGTGAACTCCTATTAATTAACCAATAGTTCCTTCTTCTTAAAAACAATGATAAATTTCAATAGATTTAACTCTTGATTTAAATGGAATTGGAGCAAAGCTGACAATTTAATTTTTTTTTAATGTGCCATATAATAATTTTCCAAGGGCAACAGTCCCAATTCCAGGAATACGAATACAATCATGCATAACAAACCTAAGAGGCTTGCTTGCTAAGAGTTCTTGATCATCAACTGGAATTTTATCTAAAGCTTCAATTAAAGTTGGACCTTAATACCAATTCATATTTTATTTTTTTGTGTTGATGTTTTCAGCTTCTTTTAAAGATATTGGAATAAATTAAATTTATTATGGATTTATTTCATATTTGACTAAAAGTTAAGAGAAATCATTCACTACAAATTAATAGCTAGCCTATTGATATTCGACTAAATCCATATCATTAATAGCACAAATAATGTTCTATTTACCCAAAGCTACACATAATTGAAGTTATAATTCAAGTGAAGAAGCTAATGTTAAACTTTACAAATATTTATCTTTAACTCCACTCAAAACAAATACTGCTATATCTCCATAAGCAATCCCAATTTACATTTAATTTATGTATTAATACTACCCAGGGATATTGATTAAAAAGTACTCTTTACATGTTGTGTTAACATGATAAGTTGAAAATATTTATGTATGCTATAATTTCTGTTCTGTTCTAATTCTATCCATCAAAAACGTATATTTAAGATCTGGTTTTTCTTAAACTTTTGGATGGCAATCTATTCTTTCTAAAACATATGGAGAGGCAAAGTTTAATTCTTTAACTATGAGCCCAGCAATTGTTGATTTCCCTTAACCATGAGCTCCTAAGAAAACAACCGATTAATTGCTTAATTTTTATTACATAAATTCTTTACTAAAATTAAAAAAAACAAAAATTGCTTTTATTAACAAATTATAAAAATATAGAATAATCCTTATTGAAGGAAAAATAATATTTTATTTAAAAAACAACTTTTCAATTTCTCAATTTGATATTGAAAGTTAAAATATGAAAAATTTTAAAGAATTGTAAAAAGAAATAAATTTATATTAATTAAAACTTAGTTGTTAAGTTGTAAGACATTTATATTATTTGAAAAATGATGGCATAAAACTTCCCTTTACTATTTTATCTACAGTTTTTTACTCATAATTTTAGGATTCACCCTCATCTTCAAAAAATTGCATATTTAATTCTGTTATTCCTTTTTCTCTAATAGTTAAATCTTTTTGATTCAAAGTATCCTATAGTATTTCATAAGGCAAAAAGCCAAAATATAATTATGTCTTTAAGTCTTAAGGAAAATCATCTATTGTTAGATTTGTTTTTGCTATAAATTCAAAAGGTACAAACTAATCAAATAATGGATCTTTGCGTTCTTAGATTTTAAAATTCAATTCAATAAACTTATCTACCTTTGGTGGCATTTCTTATTGTATTTTATCAACTACATTTTGATGTTAAACTGCTAATCTTCTATAAACTAATTCAAAATTCTCTATATTCTTAAGATTCTATATCACTTTCTTACTTGCTTTTCTAACTGATTCATTAACATCATTTAAGTGAATTATTATAGATTCAATAACTTTTCTCACTTCATTAATTCTAAATTAATTTACAAGTCTACCCAGTTCTATTGCAAAATATTGACTTATCTGCTATAAATATATCCGGAATTAAATTTATTGATCTTTCTCTTATGTAAAAATTTTTATTTTTAAAGGAATCACTTAATAGTTCCAAAACTTATTCTGAGTTTCTAGTCTTAGCTATAAATTTAAGGAAAATAGATTTAGTTGATTTCCTTATCTATCTATCACTATCAGCCAAATTATGAATAAGCTAATTTTCAAAGTGTTTTAAACCTCCTTCTAATTCAGCAGGTAATAAATAATCAATTAGCTTAATATATTAAGTTAATAGAGATACAGATGATAATAATCCATGAGTAGCTAAGATCACCTATTTATTTGTATCAATAAGCATTTGATTTATCATAATAAATATTCTGCTTAAGTCACCCAGAACAATTCCCTTCTTTGCCTTGATGTCATCTTACATTAAGTTAATTAATTCTATTCTAGTATCTCCAGCTGATTCATAAATTGAATTAATTAAGACTTGCATATTGAGTTTTATAATATTTTTATAACATTTGATATTAATTTTTTGGTTTAATAATTTGAATTAATAATAACTAAGTGCTTTTAGTTTAAATTGTATCTATATTCATAAAATACAAATAGTTTTATATTAGAAATATACACAAATAAAATCAAATGTAAAATCATAGTTTATATTCCATTACGTTTCTTAATGGATATGGATCCATTTATTAATTTTAATTATGATTAATTGATTATTATAATTTTTTTATTATAACTTTTTTTAATTTACTTAAAACTACATATAATTAAATTGCTAGGTTAATTATTAAGACTGATAACAATGTAGCTATGTGAAACCAGCCAAGAATAACTTAATTTTCATAATCAAAATTGGATTTTGTTTAATTCCAATATAAAATAACTGTAAAACAAAATACAAAAACACTTATCTCTGTAATTATTAGATTAAAATACTCTAATTTATTCTCAAAGGGTCTAAATAAATACACATATAATAAATAAAGTTGACAAACCAATGACAATAACATTGACTGAATTTCTTAACTATGTTAAAATAAAACTAAAATTGCAATAAATAATAATTTTTTCAAGATTAAAAATAAATCAAACTTTTTGATCCAATATTAAGAGAATGAAGTTAATTTATAATTTCCTCTTAAAAAATAACAAGATATTATTAATGCACATATATAAATGATTAAATAACCTAAAATAGTTGATAATATTGATCTTATATTTGTAAAGGATGAAGAGCGGATTTATAAAAATGACATAAACAATAAATCCCAGCAATTAGCCATTAAAAATTACTTCAATCCATCCTTCTCTAATTCTCTTTTTATTTAATTACAACTTCTAAAGATTTTCAATAAAATAGATGCAATAATTTCACCAAATTACAAATAATGATTATGGTCCATAATTCTAAATATTTATATCAAAAAATTGGTTCCTAAATACACAGACAAAAGTGTTATGCTTAAAAATATTTGAGCCTATATATTTTTCACAATATCTGCATTAATATCATAAAATTTTAATTTTTCATAAGACTCAACAAAAGGCATTTCTATCAATTCAGATGAAAATTAATTAAAATTAAAGATATCTAAAATAGGTTAAACTGATATAATATTGGTTGATTCAAAATAAATGAATAAATTAAGTGGAAATACTACATTAATAAACCTTAAATAAGATTGCTATTGGAGTACTTCAATAACTCCTCTTAAAATAAATGAATTACCGAGCAATAGTACCAAAATTCCTGCTCCACCCATTGAATTCATTATATATGTTCCCATTTATTTTAAAACCTAAGCAGATTTTTATTTTTAATCATCTAAGTATTTAGGTAGATTTAATCTTACACTATCTTTTTGATTAATCAAAGGAGCATCATTTTCATTATATAATTATTCATTTAATATAACTTCGAGAACAGGTAGAGATGACAAAGTGGTATTTATAACAATTTCAACTATATATTCTACGTAAGTGCAATATTATTAAGCTTCCTAAACTATGGTCAATGTGATATTATAAAATTCATAATCAACTCCTATTAAATTGAATTGGATATATTCTGAAAATAATATATCATCTAAAATTTTAACTTATTGATCAAAATGTAAAGAAACATATTAAATTTCATAATCTTATTTAATAAATGAAGCTTCAAATTTAGGATACTTCTCATAAGTACACTAAGTAAAGGAGTATTAGTAGTTTTTGCAAACATAATTAATCTCTATTTTGCACTTTTAAGAACATCCATCTCCATCTTCATTATTCATATCATCACATTCCTCTTCTTATGAAACTAAACCATTACCACAAAATGTTAAACATTAGTTTTTGATAACATTTAATTCATACCCTTATTCACATAATTTACATTTTCCTTCTGAACATATTTCACAATGATCTGGACATAGAAATTAACAATTATGACATCCATCTAATTAATTATCATTTTAATCATCACAATCTTCTTAATCAACTATAATACCATCACCACAAATAGGATAACATTAATAATCAAGTTCATAATATCCATATTCACATTAATCATAACATATACCTTTAATACATAATTTACAATATTATCTACATTAATAATTACAATTATAACAACCATCATATGGTATTTCATTCATATCATCACATTATTCATAACCAATAGTAATTAATCCATCTCCACAAATAGGAATACAATATTAATCAATTAATGTAAATGTATATTCACAATTATAACAATATCCATAAATACATATATTACAATAATGACAACATTCAATTTTACATTAATAACATCCATCAAATTAATCATAATTAGAATCTTCACATTCTTCATTTGATATTAAAGCAATTAAATTATCTCCACATTAAGATTCACAAATAAATTAATCAGTTAAATGCCAACCATAAATACAATCTAAACATATTCCTCTTTAACAATATGAACATTCTTTTTAACAATCATTTCTACAATTATTACATCCATCAAATCTAATTGAATTCATATCATCACATTCTTCTAAACCTTAAATGTAATTATCACCACAAATAGATTCACATTAATAATTTTTTACTTTCCATCC